AGGTCGGTTTTGTGTTTTTGGTCGTGGTTGGGGTCGCCTTTTATGGCGGGGGCACCCCTTCCCCGGCCGGCCCCGGGGTCCCCCCCCCCCCCGCTGCCCGGCACCGTAGGGCTCCTTCTCCAAAACCCTAACCCGGTGGTCCCCTCCTGCCCTCGAGAGCGAGCGCCCGGCAGAGGCGTTACTCTAGCGGAGGGGCTTGCGTCCCCAAGACCGGCGTACTGTACCACGGGAATGTCGTCGGGCGGCTCCTTGTTGAGCCGCATCGATAGCCAACCGGAACCTGTTGAGCCGCATCGGCGGTCGCGGTGGGGACAGGGGGGCCCATGATGTGCGTTGGCAGATGGCAGAAGAAGGTGGGAGAGGTTGGATTGGTGGACAAGGTCGTGAGGGAAATGCCGCATCACGGAGATTGTACGGACAATGTGCCATCCTCAATATGTAGCTAAACAGGCATAGGCGCCGCGCGGACAAGCCTAGGTTGAGGGAGATGAGTGTGAAACACGGCGGATGCGAAAAAAAACACACATGAGGGGAAGAAGGCACAAAAAGCGCGCTCCTGCCTCTAGATGTACAAGAGCAAAAGAAGCATCGCAAGCAGTAGAAGCAGCGACAGCAACAAGCCAGAGACCAGGAGAAACACTTCATTGCTCCGTCGGCCAGCGCGTTCGATGCCAATTAAAGAAACACACACAAGACAAATACCCCACCAAGCACCCGCGGAACTTCCCCCGCTCTTTCTTTCCCGCATCAAGCCTGACGCGGTCAGCTTGCTTGCCACGGCCATACACACTGGAACGGTAATACCCGCGACAACACCCCCCCCCCAAGACCATGGCATTTCGAAGCACTTTCAGTTTTCGACCGCACTGAGACTGACGTCCTTCCATTGGTCAGCCGATTAGCGCGGTCGATGTCAACAGCAAGCACATACACGCACAAACAAGGCCTCGCTCACCGTCCGCTAGCTTGAGCCGCTGCACGCAGCGATTCCCGAGGTCGCTGAACTTCTTCGCGGACACCTGCACCAGCTCCCCCGCCGCGATCGTCTTCACCTGGCTCGACGCCAGCTCGACCGTTCTCCTAACGACGGCACCATCGGGTAGCACTACCCGATACTGTAGGGGCTGGAGGAGCTTGACGATCTCAACCACGGGCCCCCGTTGGCCCGAGAGGGGATTAAGGACCTCGCTAATCCACCCCTCCGCTATCTTCAGCCGCGGGAGACCGGCGTCGTTGATGCGTCGCTCGAGGACCTGCGTGGAAAAGGGGGATGGGGGAAAGATTAGACGGTGGACAATTATACATGTGAGACGAAACACATGCGAGACAGACAGGCAGAGAGCAACAACGACCGACAGACACACAAGATCAACATAGAGCACACAAGGAACAGAGAACTGAATCCGTTTACTTTGCATCTCATCCATTTTGGGCGCCACCCTACTTCTGATACGTACAAGAACACCTTCCGTAAAAGTTCAACGCATCGCATATCAGCCGGCCTCGAACCAGCCAGAAAACAATCCATCGCCATGTGTTACGCTAGCACGCGAACACACACAGCTGGACATCCCAACACATTTTCACGAAACACCTATGCATACAACAGACCCACCTCTACAACAGAGTGCCACGGGAGGTTGAACAAAAACGGGCTGGTGAGCTCAATCCCGTGCCTCACGAACGCTCCGTCTCGGCAGACCACTCGGTAGCGCCACCTCGCACCCGCGGAGCCGTCCCCTTTGGCGAGGAGAACGTAGCCCACGTCATCTGCCACCGGCACCCAGCCCTCGACTGCAACAATGATATGATACAGCAGTATCATACAGTATCATCAACGACGTCACGTGTGCACAATTGACATGATGAATGACATAACGTGTACACAATCAGCATGAAGCATGACGTCCCGTGTGCACGAAACATGATACACACAAATAGATGCATTACGTCACGGGTGCACGAAACATGATGAATGACGTCCCGTGGACAAGAAACATGATGAAGGACGTCACGTGGATTGCACACATATCTGTATAGCGCCACTGGGCACAGACTGAATCACCTGCATGTCATTCTGTACTCTGAATAGCGCCGGTCGATGCGCCGGGCACATCCCGGCGTTGTTGAGCCCCCGCCCACCCCGCACGGGCCGCCTTCGCGAAAAATCAAGATTACTAGGAAACAGAACAGGGAGGGGATACGCAGACCGTATTCCCTAACCCTAACCCTAACTCAGCTTCCCCGATCGATTGCATGCTTTATCCAACATGTTTACATAATGCAAAAACCGTGCGAAGTCTACTGCCCCGCAAGCCCGACACAACGACAAAAACAAGGAGCCCACCTGGGGAGATGATCTTGACCATGCCCCCTTGCTTGGCCGTCACGGTCAAAGGGCACGCGAAGGGCAGCGCGCAGAGGCTCCTCGAGGAGGGGTCATCTGTTTCCCTCGCCTTCGTGTTGTTTAGAAAGCGACAGGGGTTTGGAAAAAAAAGTTAGTCACACTGACCGCATATATAACGTAGCAAGGGGTCGACCGTAGGATAAGACAAAGAGGGGAGTGACAAGGGGGCCAAGTCACATTCATCTAGCACGGAACATAGGGATCAACCCTACGACAGGATAAAGAGAGGCGCGCAATCCAGATTTGTCCAGTTACTCTTATGTATTGTCATGTTGAAAATTCAGCAATATTTTACGCCTTCGTTGACCGTCAATGATGCAAGAAAGTACCACTGAGAAGAGATGGGGACGGTTTTGAAATGCCAAGCCAACACCCAAGGCGAAGAGGAGGATGAGGGAGATGGACATCACTCAAGACGAGGCAAGAAGCCAACACAGCAGCCAGCGGGCAGGCAGACAAAAGTCTGTTCTGTTTACTGCACGAGAGCATCATGGCAAAGAGGATGCTCGCCAAACAGAGAGACAGGAACAACAACAACAACGCCTCTCCATAGAAACGTGACAGAATGCCCACCCGCCGAACTAAACGCACGCCAACGCAAACAACGAACATGCGCTGGTTATTTATTTGGTGGCCGAACTACACGTTCGGCGTTCGCCATCAGCTCGCCCTCAACACGGCTGCCTGCGGCGCACGAACCCTCACGGTGGCGGCGGGGTCATGTTGCCGCGAGCTGGTACCGACCAGTGTGATTCGGCCAATAAACCCTTTGACGAATTCTTTTTCAAGTTCCTCCACTAAGTTTTTGCTCGCATGTCTTTATTTTTCATCGTTATATATCAACGCTTACTGGCAGGCAATGCAGCAGAGTGCTCATCCCTTCTTTTCGCGTGAGAAACGATTGAAGGCACTGCACAGCACCAACAATACGATATTCCTAATCAATCCTTTCTCTGTCTTTTTATCTCTCTATGCCCACCTCTCTGTCTGTCTGTCTGTCTGTCTGTCTGTCTGTCTCTCTCTCTCTCTCTGTGTCTGTCTCCGTCTATGTCTCCTCCCCACCGCCCCCCCCTCTCTCTCGCCGTGCGTGTGTGCCTGACTTGTCTCACCGTAGCCCCTGCCGAGCCGATGACATGCCACTGCTGGGTCTCTCCGGAGAAGTTCGCCTCATTCGTGAGTGTCTCCGCGCTTACGTAAGACCCTTGCGGCCTCTCACGCCCGCCCACGGGCGTAGCGTGAAGCGAAACGCTCTGACTAGCAAGCGTCGACATCCACCCCTAGCTAGCTCCCGCCGCTGAACTTCGCCGCTGCACAACCCAACAGAACGGAAAAAAACACTTTCCGGTTCTTACTACACGCCTGTGGAGACAGCCAATTGCTCTCGACGGAGCTGATGGGAGGACCAAGAGAAAAAACTGGAGCAAGCTTCTCTCTAGCCGTATCTGGCGGAACTGAAATTCGAGCGCGGTTTAAGCGAGTCGCAAGACACAGCAGAAGGAGCGTTGCGTGCTCTGATTGTCCGATCTCTCCTCCCTGCTAGCAAGACGGGGTGTAGACCAGCGGGCAAAAATGGACGATGGGGCGACAAGACAGGTCAGGAACGTTCCGAAGAACAGCGATGGGACGATGACATAGACCTGGCACGGTCCCGAACTATGTACATAACGTGAATGAGATCGACCGTCTTTGTGGGCACGGCGGTGTTGGTTCCACACAACGACGCTGAAGACCTCGGCAGTCAGTGGCCAAGGTCAGGAGTTCAAGTCCCCCATGATAACACATTGGTCGTGAGCATGCCAAGCTCAACAAGACTCTACTGCCTGCACGGGGAAAAGGATCGATGAACCTTCTCCATTGTAGCGGAAAGTTTGAAGGTGAGCACCGCCGAGGAACGTCACACTACTATAAATAGTACACTAGTGTAACCCCACCTGGTACACGCCCAGGTGCAGAAAGAATAAGATATGCAAGTGTCAAACGCGATGGAAAATAGATGTGATACATCGCAGAATGAAAAAGTATGAATTCGGACACAACCGACGTAGTCTGTATGACGCCCAGGAAAAGAAACGTGCCTCGACTTTCCACTATCCCAACGCGGAATCAAGAGGAAAAGACTACAGCTACGCAGGGCTTTCTAAGTAAGCATACATAGATAAAACACTGGGTAGAGAACCGCAACACAGCAGAACAGAGAAAAAAGGCCGAGCACCTTCGAGCAAGAAATTCCTTGTACATCGATGCACATAAATACTATAATACCGTCCAGCCGGCAGGCTGGCCATTCGGGCGCACGCTCCGTTCCAACGTGGATTATAAGTCTGTAGGGTTGCTCGTGGGGAAACCTGCTGGAAAATGTTCTTGCACATACACGATTCCTGCTCCCCTCCTCTAAGCGATGCCAAAGTTCTGCAAGCAAGCGTCACGAACAAAATGGATGCAACAATTGTTGCACAAAGCCGCTCACGTTCGAGAGTCTCCGTGGGTCCTGCGATTGATTGATTGGCAGACGAACCTACCGTAGCTGCTTACTCGAGATTAAACCACGACGTTCATGTAGATGAGGATGGGGATCAGCAAGTAGCGAATGTCCTGCTCAAAACGAAGGCGACTGCTGCTGTCACCCAAACAAGGCTGTCTTATAGGAGACATATTCGCGGATACGTGAGCGCAACGCCAAACATATTCGCCGAAAGGTCTGTAGACCGGCCTTTTTTTTCAAGACCGGTGCCATGGAAACACGAAAAAAAAAAAAAGTGATTCGAGAACGTCTACAACATGCCAACCCTCGCTCGGCGAAACCTCTGAAAATAAGGTATGGTCGGCGGCAAGTGCAATAGGATGTAGACATGTAAACACATCGCAGAGGTGCGGCATGGACGGTTGGACGGTCTGACCCTGCTGCGGGTCTGAAGCATTACAATGGGTCTGCAGCGCTGCTGGTGCTGTAAGCAGCGCCGAGACCGACAAAAAAGAGCAGCACTTCCGAGCAAATTTCTTCGGGGTGTGTGAGCGACACAGGAAGCGGGGCGAGAAGAACTGGGACTTTTGAAAAAAACAATCGTGGGGAGAAAGGATCGGTGGCACTTGTACGAGCCTGCGATAGCGCCTCGCACGAGAGACAGAGTCTGCCTTAGGAAGATCTCTCTGCCCTGACACGCGCGGAGGATAACTTAAAGGAACTTGCGCGGCTAACGATGTTGGCCAGGAGCAAAGAAAGGGAGCTCTCTCCTATCCAAACTGCTGCTATTGTTCAGTCTCTCGCCGTCGCTCCGGCGGCATGGGTAAAGTACCAAAAGCTCATGCAAAATAAGTGAGTAGTCGCCGTGAGAACCGGAGAAAGAGAAAGCCAGTCAAGTGTCGTAGCAGAGGCGCAGCAGCGATCATCACCGCTCTTCATCAAGTCTCTCTCGACCCTTGACCCAACTCCCCAAGAAGCGTCGCAAAGGGTCGCTAAAAAAAACACCCGGATAAACTACACGCAGGCGAGCGAAAGGCGCCGTTGCCATGTCAACAGAGATTGTAGCAACAAGGAGGACGAACACCAGACATTGTCTCAGGATAGGTAAGGACGGGCTGTAGTCTCTCACCTTCGTTCTATTCCTCTTGGGCCCTCTCTTAGGTGCGCGCCAACTGAATGTGTCCTGCAGCAAGCAAGTGCAACACAAGGCACGACGCGGGCGTGCGAGAGGCACCCCCAACAGGAATCACCAGGTCGCGTGCCCCCTGTGGAGGACAGAAACAGAGCTCACAGAGCAAGAGAGCGAGAGAGAGAGAGAGAGAGAGAGAGAGAGAGAGAGAGAGAGAGAGAGAGAGAGAGAGAGAGATCATGAGGGCTTCTGTATTCACGGCTGCGGCTTCCGCGGCGGCGGTAGCCTTGTGTTCCGGAGTGTCGGGGTTTGTCTTCGCACCGCCTCTGGCTGCAAAGGTGAGCAATGGAATTGAACATGACAGCAGTTGTAATCCGCATGCTGCTGTCCACGAAGGGTGCCCCCACCAGCAGGAAGCCCTCCTGCTGTTCCCTCCTTGCAGCTGTGCGCGGTTGGGTTTGGTGTGGGTATCAAGGTAGTGTGGAGCTAGGGCGTCTTTGCATTGTTGATGGTGTGCGTCTTTTCGATCATGATGATGCCATCGGAGTGTGGGCACTTGGAGAGCACACACATGCGTGCAGCGGTTTGGATGTGTCGATCGTCGATCGTCGTTCACGACTCGCCGCCGCTGATGTGTCACACCGCCGTTGCGGGTCCGCTGGGACGTTGCGCATCCAAGACACACGTAGAAGTAGCAGTAGGTGTAGACTGGTGGTGTTGGGACCTTGTTCTGTTGTTGCGAATCTGTGCTGGCTGGCAACCACCATGAAGGACTGCAAGCACACGCGCGGGCGGAGCTCAGCACCCCGTGTTGAACTAACTGCCCGCAACTGAAGAAGGCCGGCGGCGGCTATTGTAAGGGGCCAAGAAGAGTTAAGGGGGTGCAGAAGACGAACTTTGATGTTGACTAATTTTGAAATCAAACGCAAGAGCACCAGAAATTTCACTACAGACACACCAGACCAGTAGGAAGGCACCGCGAAAAACAGCAATCGTTGATTCTCGCATAGGGCGGCAGTAGAGGCTGCTCAAAACATGCATTTCACGCGTCTACCTCCACACGCCTCCTTTGAAATCAAGATAAAAATTCGCCACTATTCTAAATTCTAGTCAAAAACGTCGAAACGGAAGGCGCTCAAACAAGTCAATTTTGAGGGTTAGGTGTCGCATTCTTTTGTCATCAGTAGAGGACATCATGAAGAGGCGTCGTGTGCGTGTGCACGTGCAGGTTTGCTACTGGAGCTGAAATATCGAAGGTCGCAGCAGCCTCTGAAAACAGTCCGAAGTCTGCGCCGGAACCAAGCGGCATCCAACATTTGTCATAGCCGTGCTCGCCGCCACTGACCCCA